ATTTATCTCTTACTTTTGAAGTAAAGTTACAATTGGCATTCATAAATTTATGCTGAAATGCATAGGCTTCATTCTCGTTCAGATAACACATGGTGAATTAAAAAGCTGTCCTTGCTTGCACCTAATCTACGGACTCCCTGACTACCATTACGCCGCAGCCATTCGTTGTAGTGGGCGCTGTGACGAAATATTTCACGACCATTGAAGGAACGATGAACTGAACTGCGTTGACGTCACAACACTCAACGAAATAATGTGTGCTGCGTGTGGGACTGAGCTACAATTTCAGACCTACAATTATTGAGCTACAAAAAGTATTACAATTTCTTTGGATTTACTTACTTGATACTGCTTTAACATACATTTTTAGCAGCTATGCCAGAATACTACCTAGAAAAATGGATATGAGTAAGATCCTCATCGCTTGATCTTTTTTGTCTTGGAAAAACATGCGTTTGCACCCATTGCGCCGCGGTACTTAGTCACCTGCAGTAAAAGAAATGTAAAAAAGACTGCACCTATAAATTAAGCCCACGGTGTATTTCAAATATATGGAAAGTACATTATCTATTTTAGCCCCTCGGGGCCCTAAATCTTACGGGCTCCGTGCATGACCTTGAATGCACAATCGTCGGCATGCATCTTCAGTGAGCTTCCTCTAGCCTCGGTCGCAGGTCGCGGGAACCTGTCGGGTGAGCAGAACCTGTCGGGTGACTAGAACCTGTCGGGTGGGCAGAACCTGTCGGGTGACCAGAACCTGTTCCTACTTCGGAGAACCTGTTCGCCCGGAAGGTCGTTTGTGTTTTGGCGACGCTGATGCGCGGCAGCATTCCAGTGGCCTTCCTTTGGGCACTTATCTTTTTTTGTGTTGTGAGGTTTTGTTATCAAAATGTTTATTCAAAAGAATAGAATATCGGAATCGTATCAAATGCTGTCGCAAACTATCCATCTTTGAAGTCCACATCAAAATGTGCACTTGATAAAATCTTGAATGATGTTATCTCAAGTAGTTGGAATGTGTATAGTGAAATGACTGTAAAAACTTAGTTAAATAGCTAGTTCTATTAGATGCGACCTGAAGTATGAAATAAAATATGGTTCTTTTCGTTGTGAGATGAGAAATGAACGGATGGATGAGAGTGACGTCACCGACAAATTTACGACTCGTCTCGCGGACGGTCTCACGGTCAATCCCCAAATTAAATGATCAAGAAAGATCTCCCAAACTAATGTACGCAGCTCGATGAAACTTGGTACACATATTCAATAGGACCTAACGGTGATGTTTAGCTCGTAACAATTTTCTAATTTCGCCTTGATTCGTAAGTTATATGGCGAAACTGGCCGAAATTCGTAGTGATCAAAGAATTTCTTCCAAGCTGCTGACCGATATTTTGGATATACATTCCTATAACTACCAAACGGTGATGTTTAGCTCGTGAAATTTTTATCAATTTTACCCTTGTTTGCGAATTTTTTTTTCATGTCACCTTAATTCGGGATTTAAACAGCAATACGTGCTTAAATTCGCAGTGAACAAGAAATTTCATCTAAACTACGAAACAGATTTGAACGAAATTGTATATAAATACCTAACCTCCCAACGGTAATGTTTTAGCTCGTGACAATTCTTATGATTTGACCTTCGTTCGCGAGTGATGCGGATATACGAAGAAACGACCGGCATTTATGAGGTTGATTGTTAAATTGACATTGACCAAGAGCTGAAGGCTATACAAATAGCAGCATAACTTGCAAACGAAGGCAAAAAATTGTCACGAGCTTAATATCATCGTTGGACGGCTTGGTATATATACAAAGTTTCGTTTAAATCTGTTCATTAGTTAGGAAGAAATTCCTTGATCACTGTTAATTTCGGCCCGTATCGCCATATAACTCATGAATGAAAGCAAAAATTAAAACATTTTCACGAGCTAAAATCACCGTTTGGTCTTAATGGAAACGTGTACCAAGTTTCATCGAGCTGCATTCATTAATTTGAGAGATATTTCTTTATCATTGAATTTGCAGACCGGCCGCGATTCCGGCCGTAAATTTGTCCGAGACGTTGAATAGTGAAACTGAACATAAATAAAAAACACCTCGAGTGTATAAGATCCAAGCTTGTGAGTAAAATCCTAAATTTTCTGTTTTATATATATTGCAAGGATACAATCAGGGCAAATATTACTGTAGTTAGGCAGGCGCTGTTCTTTAATACAAGTTTCACTGAAGACCAGAGCGTATATCTTATTGACGATTTTCTTATTGCTTTTCTCTATTTGACGCATCAGGCTCCTGGTGGGATTGGAAATTTAAAATATGTTTTCGAGAGACATTATATTTTAATTTAAGATGTTTTTTTATGCAATATTCAATATCAAGAAGGTGAAGAGTTATTTACAGCACCTAAAATTGCAATTTGGAAATGAAGCAAGTACATACATACAAAGAGTATCTTACATATGGTTCAAAATCGAAACTTAAATTACCAGCATTATCTATCAGGGTAAAATAAACTATTGCCTCGAAGATCGCGATGATGAAATTCCGTACCGCAAAAAGCAATCAATAACCATAAACATTTTTGCAGCAGGAGTAACAATGCAAGCATCTTGTATGGTGTCGAGTATATTTAAATTTTTTCTCGTTCAACGATTTACAAAATTTTATGTTAATGCGTACTGAAAAATTAGAACTAATTCTCTGCAGTGATCTTGATTCTTGACTAGTTTTGTTACGTTCTGAGAGCTCGGCCAACGAAGCGTGGTTCCTGAACCTGATAACGAGAATCTCACTCGCGATAGAATTTCGCACTCAAAAATACGTCTCGATAGTATAGCAGCAACAGACAAGAATCTTGGACATGAGCAGTAACAGACAAGAATCTTGGACATGAGCAGCAACAGACAAGAATCTTGGACATGAGCAGTAACAGACAAGAATCTTGGACATGAGCAGTAACAGACAAGAATCTTGGACATGAGCAGTAACAGACAAGAATCTTGGACATGAGCAGCAGTAACAGACAAGAATCTTGGACATGAGCAGTAACAGACAAGAATCTTGGACATGAGCAGTAACAGACATGAATCTTGGACATGGATATCAGCAGAGATTCCGGGCCGCTTAGCATTTTGAGGAATGTTGATTAAAATTAAAAAAAGTGTTGGCACATTTTATGAATGATAATAGGGTGATACCATTGATTACATACGAATATCGTATCAGAATTTGGGAAAAATTTCGCAGAAATATCCTGTTGATCGATATCTGTTGCAGAATCATTTCACTTGGGCAATTTATAGTGTTTCTCTAATACTGAATCCGAAAACGCATTGTGCAAGTTAACGGAATTTAGATAATTGCAGTAGTTGTTCTACAGCTCGTAGATATTTCAGGTTGACAAGGGAGTTGCCGGAAATGTGGAACTTTATTGCATTTTTTCTATGAGTTTGATGCTGGAGTCGCTTATGCGGAAAATTTTTGGCTAAAATGAATCTCGAAGCATCTCCATATGTATTGAACCATTATTAAATGAATGGATTTAGCTTCTTATTCAGATAAAACCTAATTTAATATAAAGAAACTATAAACAACTGATCCCTCATTAGATAACGACGACTTGTATTTATAGCGTCAATTGGAGAATCAACTTTTGAACGAGTGGCGCATCGCTAGATAATTATAGCTTTGAATTAACTGATTTATAGTGCCGCTAGAAACTAATATTATCGCACTATCTAGCACGTACAGGAATAGAGCATTGCACGTATGGTTATAGACCAATGCACGTAGGTATATGTTTATATTAAACCTGGAAATCCTCTTAAATATTAATAAATGGCTTAATATTATAATATTAAGCAATTAAATGCAGGCTTGGGGCACCGCATGACGATGCTGGTGCAAGCTTCCACTGCCGTGCCGGTGTTGGTGTCGTTGTGAGGTTCCTTGGTCCTCCGGACTGAAGGTGGCAAGGGAGGCGGTGGCTTAACGCAACTGTCCTCAAACAATTGAAGAAGTCGATAACTTTGTTATTGCAAGAAAATTCATGAACTATATTGATTTCATGTAAGAATCCTAATTCTCTACAACAATAAATTTTTCGTGATCAATTCTTTTATTGTTTTTTATTATTTATATTATATTTTATTTATTTATTTTATTATCATCTTCTTTATTGTCAATAGATTTATAAAACGTTCTGTAAATGTGCTTCCCATGTTATTTTGCAGCGCTTGCCGTATGCGCAGCATATACATGGCAGATGAGAGAGTTCAGCTGATTTTTTGTGAGATATGTTCACGATGTATATATTTATCCCTCTGTTGCTGCTTCGTTGCCTGTTCAGTTCTATCGCCAACGATAAGTTGAAATTTCATCATCGATTGCGATGTACGTATGGCTATTGTTTACTAAACTTTTCATGTAGCTTCTGAGTTCGATTTTAAAGTGACTATCGGATGCACAGGCCTGAGGGAGTAAATGGTGCACATTTTGTGGCGTTGTGGGCATTCAATTATAGTTCAGCTCGTATCCGACGTCTGCTAATATCGTGAAAACTTATCGGCACAAACATAATGTCATCAATTGAGTATAACAAGTTTGAGCAGCGTACGAGTTGAACCTTCGCTATGAGCATCGAAGCGACCAGGCTGCCAAACGTTTTTGGAACTTTGAAACTCCAGTGAAATGCGCTGAAGCAGAATAGTTATAGTGGCGGTAATAATTGAATGGACAAATTCTCGAGCTTCAGGCACTCGATGTATTCCACGCGTCAAGTTTGAAGTGCTGGCTGCCCTGAACGATATCATTATTATAATTGGTCTACTATTGCTGCGCAACATAATCATGAGAGTGGTCTGTAATATTATACTTACGATTCCTAATCTCATTAAAATACCATGTTACAATTATCAGGCTACATTTTGCTGTACTCAATCACTTACTTTTTTCCTGAACAGACAGTAAATTAAATTCACAGGAGAAATATTTTTTCGCATGTTTGTTATTGCAAAAATCTTCAAATTAGAACACTATGTTCTAATTCGTGTTCTCTTTTTCGTGTCGTTGTCGTCTTTCATTGGTAAGTTATAAAATTGAATAATTTTAAAATGAATGGTTGATTTTTGAAGTTTTCCTGTTCATTTATAAATGAAACGCCTGCTAACAATTTTTTATTTTTAAAGTTGAATTGAAGACTGGGTGTCAGAAGCATCTCCCAGTCTGATCTCTCTCATGGACACTAGCGGTTACTTAGTTCTAGCGCAGCTGGCAAGGCAGGCATCATTTAGGTACTTAATTGCTGCTTCCTTGATACCAACGGTAAAATAACGGCTGCCCTTACTGATAAATGGAAGTGGCTACGACGAAATTTATACGCCTCGCTGTGTGTAGCATTCACAAACTGTTATGAAACCTCCCCACCAATAATAATATGTGATTAAACAATGAATGTTTGTACTATATTCGAGCATTTTTGTTCAATATTTTATTCGGTAGATGAATACAGTAGAATCGAATGAAGTGATCTTAAGGTCACCTCATGTATATATATGATTCTATCCATCATTAGATTCTATTCATATATTTATTTTTACGTCTTAAATGAATGCGTTGGATTAAAGTGAGCCGCGCTGATGACGTGGGCAGAATGACGACGGCATCTCGCGGCGAGGCGCTGGGTTTGGCGCTGGCGCTGCTCTGCATCTGCGCCGCAGCGGCGCCGGCTCCCTCGGAAGACGCGGCGTGCACACGAACCTTTGCCGACGTTGACAGCGACAGTCATCGGTGAGTAGAAACAATTTAAATATTTTGAGTGTGGCGAGTTGGATCTTTTTCTGGTTATCTGCGCACTAAGATATTGATTGATAATTGTGGAATATAGAATATTCAAGATTATTTTGATGAATTGATATGGGCAAGAAGCACTTGAACTATTCAGGATGTTTATATCAATAGTGATATAATACATAAAGTAAAAAATTTAAAAAATTTTCAACGGCACCTCTGTTTCTTTTCCCCTGCAGATGTCCGAGCTCATGCACTGTTTATGGGAACACCTCGCACCCCACGACGTACAGAGGACGCTCCCCAGTGACGGGGACTCTGACTTACGATGAGGTGAGACGCGCGGACTACTGGGGGATGGTGGGGAGTATCACGTGGCCTGGGACTGTTGTACTACATGCATGGCTATGGACGTGGCCTGGGACTGCTGTACTACATGCATGGCTATGGACGTGGCCTGGGACTGTTGTACTACATGCATGGCTATGGACGTGGCCTGGGACTGTTGTACTACATGCATGGCTATGGACGTGGCCTGGGACTGTTGTACTACATGCATGACTATGGACGTGGCCTGGAACTGTTGTACTACATGCATGGCTATGAACTGCGATGCCACGTGTCTCGCTAGTGACTGCGGTGACAAGTGTCTTGTGACTGTAATAAAACAGGGCCATTGACTGTTATGCCACCCTTAATGGGACTGTGAGCTCAAATAATTTAATTATGACGCTCAAGATTGTGATCAGATTCCACAATATGGCTGACTCGATACACGCGAATGAAGACTATTTAATATCATATCGCATATCACAGAATGATATTTTGAAAATTTTCCTTCCTGTATTTAACAGTAATGCTCTAAACTGTCAATCTATGTCTGGAACCCTCATTCAAAGTACGTTTTTCATTATTGCCTAAAACGTACGATCTGAGCTCAGGAGTCATATTCAGTCAGAACTCTCCATCGATACCAAGTTGTAAACGTGCGGATATCAAAATGATATTAAATGGCTCAATGAACAGGTCTAATTCAACGTTCCTCATATTGTGATATGGTAGAGACCCCTTCAACATTCGGTTTTTCACAACCAACAATTTTTTAAAACAAAATTTCAAATGGATGAGAATATAACATTAAATAAATTATAAATAAAAGCACTATGCTCGGCTAGCGGCCGTGACATCGCACACCTATTCACAAAAATCCGTCGGCATGATAAGTATCCAATCCATGAGAGGTAAGATAAGTTCATAGTACATGAACTGAGATTAATTTTCACTTAGAATCTCGCACTGCTCCCCTTCTTCTAGAAATTAGTATTATATTTGCTTTAAAATCCAATGAAGCTTGGTAGACCGCTATAAAGCTCAAAAAAGTCCAGGAAAAGTTAATTTTGCCCGCCATGATAAGGACACGAGATTGCCACGACTACTTGCAACGACCGCTAGGGTTGCACTGAGCTAATATTGCGAAATGTAGCCCCTAGACGACAAAATATCTTTCAGTTTGCGCAATATATTTTCAAGATTCTAAAAATTACATAATATATTGTGCAGCCCGTCAATATCGACCCTAGACGCTGAACAATATTGCGCAATAATATTGTGCGACTTGGGTCTATTAACAGCGCATGCATAGTTGCGCGGCTGGGAGAGACAGCATGCCAGTCGTGGAGACTATGTCACAGAAGGTGTTGGTATAGCGTCATAATGCCTCGAAGATGCACCTGCTAAGTCCACCATGCTGCTCTGCATGCCATTATTCTGCTAAATTTGTGCTTTACTTTCAATGCTGAATAAGTGATCAATAGCTACTTGAATAGTGGCTGGGAATTTGGTCCATTGAAATTGGCTTTTACTCGCGTGCTTCGACTGCGATGTCAGGGTATGACTTGTTTCGACTTCAGGCTGACGCTGCTGCAACTGTTTTTAATTAATTTTAACTTATTTAATTTTTTTGCATGTTTCACTTTTGTCCAACGTTAATGCCGCGACCTCCCACACAGCCCCAGGTGAGGTCGGCAGGGAGGGCAAAATTTTGGGTAATTACAGAAAAAATTGAATTGTGTTAAGATTAAACTTCACATCATATGATATTTGCACATCGCCAAGAACATCGCCGGTCGCGGCTTAGAAGTTTGAACGGGGAAGCAATCCCACATACCTACATTCAACCTGATCATGCATTGGCACCTTTTCTATCTCCAGGAGTATTTTCTATTTCTCTTTTCTCTTTTTGGGCACTCTGATCTACCACCTGTTCGTTTCAACTCTTTCCTAGTGGCACGGCAACAACTCCAAATTTTGTTTAGTGTAAATCCCTGTAAGGTCGACAGTGTGAGCCAACTTTTGTTCAATGTTAATGCCGTAATCCGGCTAGTAGAAATTTGCAATCCGACTGTGATTTTTGATGTGGACACGTGCCAAATAAATAAAAGGATTTCCAAACAAATCATTTCTACAGTCGGCGCGAAGCCACAGGAAATGACGAAAACAGTAGACTTCACAACAATTTCGACTTACAATTTTGAAAGTTTACCTGGATTATTTAAGTGATGGGCTAAATAAATATTCAATAATCAATTTTAAATAAGTTGAATGACACAAATCGATTCATAAACAAAATTTGGTACAAACCGATTGCTGCTAAAAGGTTCTTCATGCGCAAGTTGACCGTCGAGTGAGTTCTTAACCCAACCTTCCCTCCTCACCAAGGTTGACCGGAGGATTTTATTATCGCGTATATTTCGTTGGGTGTGTAGGTTATTTCGCCTAACTGAATATTTGAATGGTAATTAGAGCATGTAGTCACATTTCATCGTTGTTAAAGTCACCATCTCATTACTTTAACTCTATTTTGAAAATAACGTCAATCCCTTGAGTGAAACTGCTTACAGATACTCGAGCCATTACAGCTTTTTATTATTTAAAATATCAGGATGGAAGACTCAAAGCTCAAAAACGTCATCATCTTGAGAGAATAATACGATGATTGTAAATAAAATTCTCATTTAACCTCTGATGTTTCTTGCTGGCTTTGCGACTCCTTCAAAAGCGGTCCTGTAGTTGAGACAATAAGGACTTCATTGGAATGAGCCGTTCATGATCCCAGTCAATTGATAATGAAAATTAATATTACAGGATAAATTTTTGTCGATGAAGAACAGACAAAACGCAGTGCGGAAACATTATGAACTGGACGGGCCGCTGTCTCACATAACAGCGTTCAACTTTGACAAAAGATATCAAGAACATGTGAACATCTTTTGAATCTTTCGTCGAATTTATTAATCCCGCGGAAATATTTTTTTATAAAACGAAGTAAATAATGCAGGAAGTGCAAGAAGCTGGAACGTACAATTTAAGAGGAGCGTCTGGGCAAAATTTTATCTCAGTTATTTACAGATGGATCAGTTTGAAACTTGGTACACATGTGTAAAACCAAAAGAGAAATTTTTTTGTACGTGTGAATTTTTGGAAAAAATGAAAGAAAACGTGAAATTTTTAGAAACGCACCAAAAAGGGGGTACTTTAGAATTCTATCTCCTCCTAGGGTTTTCAAGCTACAACATCGAGACACATATCATTCAATGCGTAAAGACCAGGTCAATGAAACTTCGCATAAGTTTTTTTAAAATTTTCATTTTTGTGGGTGTGGGAGCAATTTTCGAAATTTTTTGATTTTACCCCCGCCACTCCTCCTTTTTTGCATTATAAAACCCAAACTATAACGAAATTAGAAAAATGTATGCGACGTTTTGTAGATATTTTCTTTGCGAACCGAACGGTATATCTCTCATTGCTGTAGCTTTAAAACTGTAGGAGGAGATAGGATTGCCGTGAGAAAAGTTTTCAGCTTTGGCAACTTTTCATGAGAGGCAAAAAACGCCGCGCGGCACGTAACGTAGCCTAGATACCAAAAGTAAGCATCAACTCACTTCAAAGTCAGTCATCGGTGCATAGAACCACTAAATGAACACCATCCCGCGTGCTGTCTGTGAGGTTACTGAGCTCTAGCTGAGTGGAGAGCACATTTTAAAGTTAATTTCCCCCTTTGGAATTACTGAAGGCCCCCACCCCGTTCCCCCCTTACGGGATCTATCGTGAACGCATAAATCAACGTACAGAGATGGTTCTAGTACCGGTCGAAGCGGCAAAAAGTAAGCTTTAAGATGAGTATAAGAACCGGAGAATGTCATAATTCGATCCCCTTTATGGTGCCCGGCCGGGTAATTTCCGCCTTAATTTTACTGAAGGAACCCGGACACCTCCCTTCCTTACGGGATCTGTCGCAAACGCATAAATCAACGTACAGAGATAGTTCTAGTACCGTTCGATGCGTCAGAAGGTAAACTTTAAGATGAGCCTAAAAACCGGAAAAGCCGAAATTTCGATCCTTGGACCCAGACGCTCCCCTTTAGGCTCTGATTACCCATGCACGGTCATATTTTGTCTTTTTGTTTCTCATCAAGGCCTGATGTCTTAAGCGATATGGTACAATCTCTAATTTCTGCAGTTAGTTTCACTCAATGGATTAATACGGGAATCTAAACTATATTTTCCTAATAGAGTTAGACTATGGAGCTACCGACGTTACGATTTGTTTAATTTTCGAATATTGCTAGAAATATTTTTACATGTACTCAAACAACACGTTTACAAATACCTTGGCCTGTTGGAAACATTTTATCACTACTGTTTCATAGAAAATAAATGAATCTCAACATAACGACCTGTTTTCCTCTTGGACGTGCTCAAAACAAGCTGATTTAGGTTTTAGTGGACTAGGTGAACAAGAAACCTCTCTTCCTGTAATGAAATATTTATTGTCCTTATGTCAAGTTTAGGACTTCCTAGTTCAAAGCCACGCTGATGCACCGCCTCCGTATCCAAGCCGTCAATAGGCATGTCGCCCGGCTATCAGGGGCTAGAGGTAACGTTCACCAGAGAACGGAATGACCCACAGAGACACACGCGACATTACAATCCTCCGGTTAACAATAAGGTGTAGGAGGAGGAGGGGGGGGGAGAGACTCGTGCGTCGGTTAACTTGAGGCTAGAAGAACCTATCCTGTAGAACAGGATTTTTAATAATAATAGGTCCCTCAAATTGAGGGACCAATTTCCCGTAGGGAGGAAGGAGTTTATTATGCATCTGAATTTGATATTTTAAAGATCTCTTACTATTACGAGACGGAATTTTTTTCCATTTACGCGACTAGAACTGTATCTACAATACTTGTCTATAATATTTTATATTTATGATTGCCTATAATCGTTGAACTCCCGGCTTTTTGCAATGTTCTGGTTTCTCAAAATTTAAGTAGATTAGGCGGTTTGTTTTTATCATGTGAATTTTGCTCATGAGGAATCGTCGGTCTCTCGGAATGCTGCGTAATCTAGGATCCCATTCTCCCCGGGTTATAGCGTACACACACCTGCACCAGTGTATTGCATAGTTATATGTAAATTTCATCAGCGTTATTCTCACACAACTCAGACCTCTAATCAATTTCGGCGAGTTCATTTATATTTGCATCCCAGCCCTCTGTTCGATGGTGGAAGTTGAGACCTGCTGTTCCCTCCTGTGATTTAGTTCTGGGCTGATATCCAATTTCAGTTGTCGTATCCACCATCATCAAACGGCAGTCGGACAGTGAAGTCTCCTCCATCCGAACGTCTACCACCATTCTTAAAGATTATTAGTGAAATATTCCGATGCTGGATATTGTTAAGGAAATTGCACTTCTTTGTTGGCAGTCGTCCATGCTGACCGAGTAAGTGTCCAAGTTGTATGGGCTTGTCCAACGGATACGTGGAAGATTGAAGTTCCCCATGCATCTCTGTTATACCGATTTAACTTAAATAAGACTCGGAAGAACACCGTATTGTTTCTGCCCATGGACCTCTGTTAGAAACAATTGAGTTCGCGCCACTCTTCTAAATGCTTTCCCTACATCTAGCTCAGTGGCAATAAAACATCATTTGGTTTGTTTAATCATCTTTTCCAAAGTAATTTATATAATATAATAATAAACTGATTGGAAATGCAAACGCAGTATACAAATGCAATGAATTTTGTCTTAACATCGTTGATTTATTTCCCAGATACTCCCACCCCCACTGTGCCGACCGTGACTAATAGTGTGATCGAGGAATTCACCAGGGAAAATATCCCTGAAAATGTGACTGTGTATCAAGTTCCAGCATCAGCAGGGGCTGGTGGAGTGACGAAAGCCTTGAAGAACCTGACGCATCAAGACGCTGCCCTAAATGCCTATGAAGTCAAGAACGCCACTGACTCAGTCAAGTATTATGGCAGACTCGTCGTGAGAAGTGAGTGATAATTGTAAGCTCGTGGCTACAGACTACAGAACTTTTTACTGTGGAACCTCGCCTTACGAACCAAATTTGTTCTAGAGTATTTGTTTGTAGGGCAGTTCGTTTGTAAAGCGAACTTTTTTTCATTTTAAAATTAACGGAAACGACTGTGATCCGTGTCGAGATTCTACAATAGTCACCTCTTGTACTTGTACATCGAATTTTCGATAGGGTGAAAGATGTTTGTTCATTTTTGGGGCTCCATTATATAGGCATATTTCGGACCTAAGAGAGTGAGTTCGTACTTTTATTTCGGCTGTACTGCCTGACCAAGTCAACAACCCGTATGCTAGCCGCGTGTTTCTTGATGATTTCCTATCATCAATCAATATTGGTGATTATTAAATCAATCAATATTAAACATCATTAGCTCTAGCACAACCCATCACTACCATTGCAAAGAATATTCAATTGTCATCACCACCACCAATCACGTGCTCCATCCATCACTAAAGTTTGCACATCACAGCAGCGCTCCACCACAGCAGCGTCCTCAGTATCATCCTCCATCACTAGCACTAATCTCCACCATTTACAGACCTCTCTAGCAACTGTCTCTAGCATCAATCAGCTATTATATCAGCCACTGGCACCAGACTGGCACCAGACTTCATTATGACCGGTTGTTTTTTAGCTGCAGTCATCACTAACGCCAGGCATTATTATTGTTATACGACCCCACTAGTACCGGTCGAAATAGTGAAAGGCGTATCTAGCGCCTGCAGTCACTAGTGTCTGGTCTAACTTCCACAAAGCTTCTGGAGCAACAGCAATCACCACACAGCACCAACAGTCAACACTGCCACTAGTTAGCACTAGCGTCAGTCATCACTGCCACCTGTCATCACTAGCACTAATCAAAAAAAGCACTGGTCAAAACTAACACATTTCATGACTAGTAACAGTCATTGCTAATATCAGCTATTGCTGACTACTGATATCGTTGGCGCCAGCTATCAGAAGCACCAGCCAAAACTTGAACTTTTTCTCGCAACCAACTGGTCGCAGTCACAAAACTCGAATCAAAATTTCTATACAGGATCTATCCGACCTCAGTTCACAAATCCGTTCTTCACAACAAGTTAAACTCTTCTGTTTGATCTGACTCTGAAAGATCTTCGTATAAATTATTATTCAGTCGTCAATGCTACAAAACGGATTTACACTAATTATTTTCTTTATTTCATTCAAATCTTCAAGCTTCCCAAAAGTTGACCATCGAATTTATTATTGTCGTTTCAACGTTAAATTTTTGCCATAGTGAAAATCGATTTCGACTCGAAATAAGAGCCACAGACGGTAAACTAGCTGCGGAAACGCGCTGCACTCGAAAATTTAGAGCTAAAAAAAATATTGGATCACCAAAATATCTACCTCGAATTATTCTACAAACCCCAAAAATATGTAAATAAATGAAATCTTACAGCTGTCATGGGGCGAGGCTCGTCACCGTCCTTATAAATATATACTTTACTTGAAGGTTGTCCCAAACATCGCTATGGTATTGGCTGTGCTCAGTGGTGCCCGGACTGCCTCAACACAGGCGAATGTCACCCTCGCTCCGGAGGCTGTGTCTGTGCCCCTGGCACCCATGGCAACCGTTGCCAGGACTGTGAGTATCGTAACCAAGCGCGTCATTTAATTGTTTGATATTTGAAAGTTCCTTGCAATCATCTCCTTGAGAGATGATTGTAGGAGATCAATGTAATGGACCTTTCAGCGCTGCCATTGTGCAAGTCATTGCGGACTTCAGTTAGCAGTGCGACGCTTTCACGAAGAATTCATCATTTGACAATTGATACGAGGGAGTGAGGAGCAACTCATTTATTGGAATACACGATCTATATTCAACATTCTCGGCATTGATTATCTCGTTTTATAAATTTATTTGTAAACCCTAGCTTGCAGTGTTGTGAGGCATTGGATCTTCGAAAGCGTTGAGAGGATCCAGCCCTGGATGCTGGTTTAGTGTAAGTCCTTGTTACAGACTGCGGCAGGGGCCGCTACGGCGACGACTGCAGTAAGAACTGCTCTGCTGAGCTCCGGGGCAGGGAACGAGCTGACCTTCCCATATGCGACGGGCTGACCGTCTGCACCCACGACCTGCAAGGCTGCTCCTGTCTTCCTGGATTCATGAGACCTTACTGCAACATAGGTAATATTAAAAAGATAAATCCCAGCACAAGTCGCTGAGGTAATCACTAGTTCGGCCCCCTCTGCAGTTTGTCCGGACGGGTGGTACGGGCCAAGCTGCGCCCTGCGCTGCAACTACTGCGTGGATCGCAACTGTTCTCGTGATGACGGCCGCTGCCTCATAGGCTGCCGCGACCCTGCGCTCTGCACTCACGGTTTGTATCTGTGATACGAGCCTGAGTAAAGCAGTCTCTAGACGCTCAATATTATTGTGCAATCTGGTTCCCACAATGCACTGACGGGAGCCTTTCGAAGCTCAATATTATTGTGCAATATATTGCGCAATAATATTGAGGGCTTAGTAGTAATAATTAGCAATTGTGCAGTATATTCTGAAATGAATTGCTTTTCAGCTCAATATATTGCACAATCACGCCTCCAGTCGTGCAACAATATTTTCGGGAGCGAAAGTATTAGGTTCGGGCGGCACTTCGTCAGGAGGCAATAATAAGGTGCCATTGTAGGTGAATAATAGATGAACTTCCAGTGTTTATTGTCAGGGTGATCCACGGAGTGTTCCTGTTTTGTTTTAGCGCCAGGCAGCCAGATGTTGTGGGAATAGAGCGGCGAGTGTTTTATAGGAAAG